GGCTGACCAATATTTTTTTAAATCATTATTATGTCTATGAGTCATACTCTATAATAAAAATTAACTTAAAAATCTACATAAAAAATATTGCTTGAGAAGTTGCCAAAATTTATTAATCTCATCAGCTTTTCATTGATAATACTATTTAATAAAAAAAAATAATTAGTTTATTACAAGTGATAAGAGATTGCCAGCTCAGCAGGCTGAGTTTTCTAACTCGTGATTAAACATTTAATATACACAAATATATATATACATATAAATTACGATGAAACTAAAGAACAAAATTAAAAAATCTTGTTTCAGTTTTTATACTTTTTTCATTTTATAAATTGCACTCATCATAAAGCATTAAACTTACTTTGCCATATATGGGAAAACAACATAATAGCATTGTTATTCAATGTTATGTTATTCTTTTGACGCCTCAAAACCAGTCTTCTTATATATACTGAAAAAGGGAGGAGTGAAGTAAGATCGGCGGCGATTTGGAAGCGGCGGTTATAGTCTTTTTTTTTTGCTACCGAATATATTTATTATTTTTTTCGATTAACCTTTTTCATTAAATTTAATCATCATGAGTGGTATAGTAAGAAATTCTAAATACAGGCATGTATTCGGTAAAGCAGGAAAAAAAGAGGAGTGTTATGAAGGTTTTAACCCAACAAACAGTGCTTCAGATGGTAATTTTATTGCTGCCAACGAAAAGTTTATAGCATGTTGCATCACTGTTGGTGGTGGTGGGGCATTTATTGTCATTCCTATTGAAAAAGTAAGTGGACAGTTTTTACTCAAAATTAAACTAATCTTATATTATAAATACAATTTGCCCTACTAGACTCGTTAGTATTGATATGAAATTAAGTGCGCTGTTTCAGATATATGTGCATTATGTGTTATAGTAATGCATATTTCTGCATATATTTGGGATTGATTTTGCATTTCAGTTAGTGTATGCTATTTAAAAAAAAATTTTAACAGAAAATTATTCTCTATTTTAACAGAAAATTATTCTCTATTTTAACAGAAAATTATTCTCTATTAAAAATATTTATATATTATAATATCTATATTTAAAAGTTATATAAAGGTAAAGTTATTTAACAGTTATTTTAAAGTCAAACATGTCATCTACACTTCATACTCATGTCTATTAAAAAACAAAATTAAAAAAAACAACAGTAAAATACTTTTAAAAATTACTTGAAATTTAAGCATAGCACTACAAACTTTTTTGTTGTATATTTAGTTGCATATTAAGGACTAATAAAAAATATAAAAATTTTTTCAGTCAATGTATGTACTGAAGTTATTTCCATGGTAGCTATTTCTATATGATGTATCAGTAAGATTTTTATCATACATGTCCTTCAAGTACTGCTATCCTGATAATTTATATGCAGTTGATGCACAGTACAAGTGCATTAGACCTGTACTTGTGCATATACTGTAAAGCTCCTGCATTATATGGTGACAAATAACATTGTTTGGTTGTTATAAATTATGTATTAAAAAATGATTGGAAATTTAGAATTATTTAATTTTCTGTTTAGCTTTATATATATATATATATATATATATATATATATATATATATATATATATATATATATATATATATATATATATATATATATATATATATATATATATGTATATATATATGTATATATATATATATATATATATATATATATATATATATATATATATATATATATATATATATATATATATATATATAATTTGTTTATAAACTTTGTTTATTTTAAAATTTTATAAGCTGCTTCACCTTTTATATGTTTAGTGATGCATATTTCTATCTTTATTTAGCATTTCAGTTAGTATACTATTTAACACAACAATCTATGCTTTATAAGAAATATCTTTATATTCTGTAAGTCTATATTTTATAAGTTATGTAAAGTTCAGTTATATATACCATACATATTGTTTTTGTAAAAGTTAACTACTATACATCTATCAGGCTTTCACAGGAAAGCATGTGATTGCATGTCATTATATGACTACACAAATAATAACTTTATTTTGATGGTTTTATGGCTATTTACATTTAAAAAACACGCTGAATATTATAGATTTTATATTATATTTATACGTTAAAATTAAACATTAGAAATAAATAACATTAAAGCTTTTATCTTAACTAATGATTTTTATATTAGCGAAGCTGAACACACACACATATAGAAGCATTACACAATTTAAATTTTATGTTTGCAATGACGATTCTGCCTTCACGTTAAACCATTTATGTTACACTTAAACTTTTTTCAATTAGATTTCATTTAATCAGTCTAATCAATCTATTCAAATAAAATATTTAAACAAAATTTGAAAATAGTTCATGTGGAAAAAATTAAGCACTAATTTATTTTTGTAAAAATATTTACACTGTAATTGCAAAAAAAATTTTTTTTTTACAGATATAAAAAAAGAGATTGTTAAATTAATTTTTTTCTATATTCCTTTTTCAAAAAAATTTTGATTTAAATTTATTTTATATTTATTATTAAATATTAATAAATTTAAATTAAAAAAATATATATATGTAACACTCCATTCTACAATTTTTTGTTCAACTTTTAAAAGTTTTGACATTATTTTAGATAATTTTTTTAATAAACTTTATATAACAAATTTATGGAATGATGATTTTTTAGTTTTAGTATGCATATAAAATTTTTCTTATGTTAAAATACTTTTGCACTCAACACTTCTTATTTATTTTTAGACTGGCCGGCTTGAACCTGATTTTCCTAAGGTTTCTGCCCACAAAGAGTTTGTGCTTGATTTACAGTTTAACCCTTTTAATGATAATATGCTAGCATCATGTAGTGAAGATGGCACTATTAAGTTATGGGATATTCCAGATAATGGTTTCGTAACCAATATTGATGATAGCAAAGCACTTCTTACTCTTGAATATCACGAACGAAAATGTTGTCAGTTGGCATGGCATCCAATTGCATCTAATGTTTTACTAAGTGTTTCACAAGAACCAAAGGTATGCATATGGAATCTTGAAGAAGGTGTTGCTGAAGTTGAAATAACATCTCATCCTCAATTAATCTACAGTGCATCATGGAGTTGCAAGGGAGATAAAATTGTAACAAGCTGTAAAGATAAAAAGTTTAGAATATTTGATGCTCGGTCTGGTGATTGTTTAGTGGTAAGCAAAAAAAGATTTTTTTTTTCAAGTTAATCACTTAATAAAACATTAGTCTTTACGTTTTTATTTTAATTACTTTGTTTTGTATTTATACAAAACGTTTTTTATTTTTTTGCTTTTTTAGAAAATAAATAAGACGTTTGTTTTGTGTGATTTTTCATGTTATTTAATTTAGAAATTAAAAAAAAAAACACATGTCTTTCCATTTTTATTTTAATTACTTTGTTTAATTTTTATATTGTTTTTAATTTAATTATTTTATCTAGAATTCAAATAATACATTCATTTTCCCAGTATTTTTTATTTTTATTATTTCATCTAGCATTTATTCCAAGCATTTTTGCTACTTTGACTTAAATAGCAGAAAAATATGAATTTTTTTTATAATTTTATGTAATTTAAGAAGCTGGGCAAAGACAAAAATCGGTAGGCCTAATAAAAATAATTTTTTCCTAAAGTGTATACAATTTGTTGTAAATATATTTGATATTTAGGAAGGAGGTGGTCACGAAGGGTCAAAACCAAGTCGTGTTATTTTTACATTTGATGACACTCTTCTTTTTTCTACTGGTTTTTCTAAGATGAGTGAGAGACAATATGCATGCTGGGAAATTGTAGGTATTTCACTGTACTTTAATATAATGATATTTAAATAAATGTACATAATTATTTCAAATAATTTAGAGCGGAAGTTCAATTAATAATCTTGATCAAGTAGATTTGGATACTGCAAATAATGTGTTAATCCCAACATATGATGCTGATACACAAGTTGTCTTTCTTAGCGCCAAGGTAAGTTTGATGTTTTTTCTATATATCAAACAGTTCCCATATTTCTTTCACATGCTCTTGTGTTTATACCAAGTTTATAATTTATGTTTCAAAGTAAACTTTTTTTTTGTTTTATATTTTGACACTTTGTGCAACTTCATTTATAAATATTGTAAAAACTAAATACATATGTAGTAGTGGTCAAGAACCTTTTCATTGCAAAGATCTATATATTATATTTTAATTCAGCTAAAAAATAAGAAATGCTGAAAAATTTAGTTAAGAAATGTTTGCTTCAATAAGCTTTATAAAAAAGGACAAATTAGGCAACCTTGTTGTTGTTGTTTTCTTTTAAAGTTTTTTTACTATTTTTGAACTTGAGGTCAGTTGTACTCTAAGTAGCTTTAATGTGTTCCATTAGTGCTGGAAAATATAATATCTTACCTGTGGTATTGACTTATACAAACACAGCTTTTTGCTCAAATGAAAGCACTTCTTCCATAAACAAATTTGAGTTTCCAATCAGGTTTTCCAAGAGTGAATTTGAGCTTGCAAGAGCAAAATTATAAATTATTACAAATTTGAGCTCCATTAGTAATAATTTAAATAAATTTTTTAGGTCCTTTATTTTTAACCACTGGTTAAAAATTAAGGAATTAAAAATAATTAAGTATCAATAAAACATTAAAATATGCGGTTTTAAAGTTGTTATGCTTTGAAATTCAGCCTAAAATGCCATATTTTTACCCTAGTTGGTTATTATGGATTTTGTAGTGGTTTTATTTTTAATGAATAATTTAATTTCTGCTTGAAGAATATGGCTAAAAATTAGTATTAAATCATTTTTGAGGGCGCTGAATCTGAAAATGTAGATATCTATTTGTATGATCTAATTTGTAAAAATGTAGAGCACCCGTTTTTAAACTTTTGAGCATCATTTAATTTTGAAATGGTCATGATAAATTTTTCGTAAAGTTTCGTTGCCATGGTTTATGCTTTCACTAATCTTTTTTAATGAAAAAGGAGATGTTAGGCTATTAATAAATATAGTTTTAGTCTCATGAAATGTAAAAAGAATTTTTTTTTTTTAATTTTGACAGAAAATTCTTTATTTGTGTTTCCATTTGCCATATTAGATTTTTAATAGCACTATTTCATGATTAATTTATTATACTAGTGAAAAAATGATTAAAAATTTTTATCTGGTTTTTTTTTAAGCTGCTGAATCTAAAGATATAAAGAAAATAACTGAATTCAATATTTTTGATAATCATTTTTTTGCTTTTAAAAAAGTCATAACAACATTTTTTTTTTGTTACCATGCCTTACTAATCCCTAGAATCTGAAATTTCCTAGTCAGAGAGTTCAGAGAAACAAAAAAAACAAGTTATTTCATTTTACTTAAAAGGTCTTACTACATTATATTTCTTATTTTGAGTAGTTTCTTCATTGCAAATAATTTTTAGCAGTTTGAAGAAGTCCACTATTATGTAAATCAATTATTTTGAAATTAATTTAATTTAATTTTATTATATATAATAAATAATTTAAAGAATTTATAATTTTTTGAGAGTATTGTTTATTAAAATTAAATGAAGACATTTTAAATAAACCTATTTTGGCAAAATATTATCCAAGATCGACATGATATTATTTCGGAATTATTAATTGCAATGTAATAAGGCCCAAAGAAATGCATGTGGAAGCAAGTTGCAGGTTCTTGACCACTGATATATATATATATATATATATATATATATATATATATATATATATATATATATATATATATATATATATATATATATATATATATATATGTATATATATATATATATATATATATATATTTATATATATATACAATGACATGGTTGATGGTTTCTAGAAGGAGGTTCATGGAAACTTACAATATAGTTACCATATTTTAAATATTTGTCTTTATAAGTTTATCAATGCCATATGTTTGTCTATATATCTATATACTTGCTTTTATAGGGGATAGCAACATTAGATATTATAATCTTGTGAATGAAAATTCTTATTTCTACTACATTGATACATATTCAACCAATGTACCTCAATGAGATTTTGATGCAATACCTAAACACAATGTCAAATTATTTTAGAAATATACATAAGTGCCATGTATTAAGGCCAACATAATTAACATATATTAAATATTTTAACTGATTTTGTTTTCTGAAAACTTGCAAAACAAATTCAAAAAAAAGTATTGTCAAAATATCGTAAAGTATTTTTCAAAATCTGATTTAGTTATAAGTTTAATTATATAAAGATCCAAAAATATACATATATTATTATATATACAACCTTCGGAATTAGGAAAAATGAGGTCAGCAATAATTAGCTTACCTCTATCTTTAGAGGTCGGCATCAGGTCATTAAAAATTATTTGATACAAAGGTCTTACCATAAAACATAGAAACTAGGTCGGCAATTTTTTGCTGATCTCAAATGCTTTCAGATCGGCATTGCCAAATGCTGACCCTAATTCAGAGAGTTAGAGCATTATCATTAAGAAATTAAAAAAATTTCTTAATGATAATGCTCTAACTATTCTCTAACTATAAAATTTCTTAATGATAATGCTCTAACAGTAAACTGAGCATTATCATTAAGAAATTAAAAAAATTTGAGTACCTGTTACCTACAGGTACCTATTTACAGGTCTTTGCTTTTTTATTTTGCATAGAATAGGTTTCAAACAATTTCTTACTAATGGTGTCCCTTTTTTCAACATAATTCAATTGAATAATACCTGTTGTTTTAAAGGTATAGAAAATACTTTTTGACTCAAACTTTGATCTTTACTGACCGGATTAGAATCAGCCAACTTGTGTCCCAACAGCTAAATTTTCTTTACTGTCTCAGCTATATTTTTTTGATATTATTTGGTTTTCTTCAATAATGTCATGCATACATTTGATATTTTCAGCTGTGTACATTGCTTGAGCATACCCTTAGCTGGGATCATTGATATTCTCAGCTATGTACATGGCTTGATCATATCCTTAGCTGAGATTCATTACTGTCTTTGAATAGAACAGCCCACTTGGTAACTGTACTATATTTTGGTGCTTGGTCACCATGAACTAATACCACTTCATTGATTATGACTTGTAGCAGAACTCCGAGTAGAGCATGTGTTTTAATATTTAATATGTATATATATATTTTTCAGGGGCATGTCAAGGGGATGTCGTTGGATGTACCCAAAAAAAATTAAATAAAAGTTTTTCAACTTGATTGTTGAAAAAGGTTTAACTATATGTAACTATTAAAGCAAAACTACAGCAAAAATTAAACAAGTTATGCACAATTAGTTATCTGAAACGGTTAGAAAATAACTAAAAACCGGAAAACATAATAGTATTTTGGTTTCATAATTTTGTGATTATTTAAAAATAATAATTAAAATATTTTGATGGATTAAGTTTTGAGTTTTTAAATATTTTCTTTCAATAGGTTAATAAAAATAAGAATAATTATTTTAGTTAGAACAAATTTTGGACATAAAAATTTTTACTTAAAAATGAGTAAAATTTTTATAAAGTTTCAATGTTTAACTATTATCAGGAGATAAAATTATTTAGTAACAACAAGTATATATCAAAATATTTCTATAGACATCCCCAGTTTTATTACACTAGACTGCGCATCATTTAATAACCTGCATTTTAAATAAATGAAGAGAAAGTTTCAAATATGGAAAATAAAATTCGGACTTCCCCTTTAACATACACCCAGCCTAATTTGAGTTTTATTAAATTTATTTTATTATTAAATTTTATTAAGCATATGATGAACCACATGGAAAAAGTTGATGGGAGGATGAACCACATGGAAAAACTTGATAATGAAGGAACTATGATGAACCACATGGAAAAACTTGATGGGAGGATGAACCACATGGAAAAACTTGATAATGAAGGAACTATGATGAACCACATAGGAAAACTAATGAACCACAAAGAAAAACTTGTTTATTTAGTATTTTAATAAAAGCTATTACTGATTTTTCTTTTGATGTTATGAAATGTGCAAGTTTTTTATTCCTGTGGTTTTCTGTCCGAAGAATGTCATAAAATATCAATAGAATATTTAATGGTGTAACCTCTGCTTCTGCCGAATAACAAATTTTGGTTTTATTGTTGCACTGTGTATAACAAGACATGTTTTTAATATAACTTTTTTAATTACATGATTGTGTAAGCAAGTAATAATGATATTTTTTATAGTTCAAATCTTATTCAAGCATTTAAAGATTTTGTATCTGTACTTAGAAATATTGTTAATCAACACCTCCAAATATGCTTTAGACTAGCCTAAAAGTTGCATTTCAAAGTATTTTAAATTAAATATCACTGTTTCTTTGCTAGACCATCTGAGTACTGAGTTTAACACAATGTTCTATGGTACAATTTTAAAGTGTTATAAAGAACCTGTGTTTTAATTTCTTTGTTCTAATCTTCAGTTTCTTCTAAAAACAATTAAAGAAATTCAGTGTTGTTATTCTAGTTGGAAAAACCACATCATATCTTCAAGTGCCTTTTATTTAACCAAAGGCCAAGCCAAAGGCTTTACTACGTGAGTTTGACCTGTGGGATGTTTAGTTGAATTTCACTTAACTGTCTGAATTTTAAAAATAAACTCTAATCTAATAATACTGAAACATTACAAGCAACTGAAGCCTAAAAAGTTATAAGAGAAAGTAATAATAAGTATAAATAAAAAGAAGTGGCAAAATGTTAAATGAAGTCTAAATGGTTTAGTTTAGCTTTTCACGCAGAGTCTATAGATGGTAAACAAATTTTTAACAAGTTTGTTATAAATACTTATGAGTTATGTTTCAAATAAAATTCAAGTATAATGTCAGTATAAAAGTATAATTTTAAAATACAATAAAAGTATAATTTCAAAAAATGTCTTAGCTACCTTTTGTTAAACAGCTATTTTCATAGCCAGACATCTTTGTAAAAACATTATTTAGAATTGCACAGTTATTACAATATTTTTTTTGACACTAAGTATTTACTAAGACAGGTAAGTATTTATAAAGTTTATTTATAATTAAAAGTTTATAAAATTATATTAAAAAATTTACACAGCAAAATCTTGTATTTAAAAAATTATAACATGTATATATTATACATTACGACAACTGAGTATTTTCAAGCAATAGTTCTATTAGTTTGCAAAATTAATATTTTAAGCTTTAGTGACCATTTTAGCAATGTTATAAGCTGGGCCATCCCAAAGAGGTCTCTCATGGGGGGGGGGGGTCATATGTATTTTTTGCCAATTAGAGATAAAATGTCCTTGATATTTGCCAACTATACTTCAAAACTTGCCAACTCAAATGCTAAATGTAGAAATGTGTTAACTTAGATGCATTTATAACAGCTTAGGGGGTGGGGACACCCCCTTACATTTTTTTTTTTTAATATAATTTTTTTCTAAAATACACTCAATTCGGTCAAAGCTAAAAAAAATAGGGAGGGGTTAGTTTTTTGGACTTACCCAAAAAAGTTCCTGTAAATGCCACAAATTTAAATAAAATAATTAAATAGCACACATTTTAAGAATTTTAACAAGCACTTTAAAAATGTTTATAGTTAAATACAGTTTAAAGGGATATTTAGTTATTTCCTGTTTAATTGGAACTTTGATAAAGAAGTTCTTCTCTAATAAAATAAGTATTATTTTTCTCATAAAATAGTGCAAAGGGGTAGTAATTATCTGCAATCAAAGAAATTTTTGAAAGAGTCTTTTAAACAATGCTTCTGTACATATTACGTTTAGTCTCAGAGAAGTTGTAATCAAAATACTAAAAGTAAACTTAAATAAGAATATTTCTGCTCTTGAATGTTTTTCGTTTTTTTTTTAATTTAATGAGTTTCAATATTTTTGTTTTTAAATGTTTATTTGTGCCAAGTATTTATCTCTCTCTACATCCATATACTTACTTTTATAGGGGGATAGCAACATCAGATATTATGAACTTGTGAATGAAAAGCCCTATTTCTACTACATTGATACATATACAACCAATGCACCTCAACGAGGTCTTGGTGCAATACCTAAACGCAATGTCAATGTAAATATTTGTGAAATTGCAAGATTCTACAAATTGCACAGTGTAAAAACTGGTTACATTGAACCTACATCCTTTTGTGTTCCAAGAAAGGTAAAATTTCAATTTCATTTTTCAATTTTATTTCATTTTTTATTTATTTATTTTTTCGGTGCTGAAAATAAGGTGTAGTTAGGGCGATTTATGTTTGAATTCTTTTATTTAAAATTAGCATGACTTTATAAGCGTATTATGTCCAAACAAAAGCTTTAGATGTTATAATTTTTTTGCTTCAGGTTTTTTTAATATTTAAAGAAACTTTTCTTTTTTATATATAATTTTTAAAAACTTTTTACTACCCTTAAAAGTGAATCTAAAGAACACTATTTTGGAGTCTTTAGATCAATTTCGCTCAGTAATATGAATTTAGTTAAAATCTTTTGAAAAAGTTCCTTAATTTACTATATTATACTAGAATATAGTAAATATATTTATTATACTAGATCCTAGTTCTAATCGGTTCTGACATATATATTAAACTATATATTTTATTATATAACTATATAGTATATTAAACTAAATAGTTGTCAAAATACAATATTTCTATTAATTTTCACAAAAAATACAAGAATTTTGACCAAAAAAGAACTTATAATAATAAAAAAAAGCGCCAATAAACGATCAAAACTGATCATATTATTAAATTATGATGTTCATTTTACCTAAAAAAACATATTAAAAATCATATTCAAATATGGACAAGCAATTGGGATTTTAAGATGTTTTTTTTTTTTTTTCAATATTTTTTTTTAAAAAGTGGTCTGGGTTTTAGCCATAAACGTTTATATTTTATGATGCTTCAAAATTTATCATTTTAATTTTTTTTTGTCTTTACTTGTCAAATTAAGTGTACAAGCATGCCAACAAGTTTATTTAAAAATTAAAGCCTACTTATGGGTTTACTTTTAATGGGTATCTTTTAATTTTTTATATAAAATATTAGAAAAGGCCTTTTTAAAGAGCCAAAGTGCTAAGTGCCATAAATGATGGCATGATAGGGTAGTCCAAGCTCATTTAAAAATTTTAGATGCCAAAAAAACAAACTATTTAAGAGTATTAGTTCTATAAAAATAGTTAAAAGGGTTTATCAAATCAAAAAAAAATTGTTAGGGTCACAAATATTGCAATGGTCAAAATTGAGGGGTTCTAGGCCCATTTAATTCTTTGTTTGCAACTACAACATCTCCTATTCATATTTTGCTGTTATATATATATATATATATATATATATATTTTTTTTTTTTTTTTTTTTTTACAATCTGTATCTGATTAATTTTATTGTAAACTTGCATTTTATTATAGAGTGAACTTTTCCAATCAGATCTTTATCCAGATTGTGTGAGTGTTGAACCAGCATTAGAAGCTGGCGAATGGTTTGAGGGAAAAGATGCTGAACCTCGCCGCTTAGATATGAAGGAATTGTTTCAATCTAAAACAAAGACAAAAGCTGTTTCGTCTGGTGGCTTAAAGAAAGTTGGTGGTTTGAAAGGTTTGAAAGCCAAAAAAGATGCCAAAACAGCTGCAAAATCTGAAACTAAAAAATCTGACGACGTTAAGAAAACAGCTGAACACACCGCTGAAGAATCATCAGTTGCTGCTACTTCAAAAGAATCCCCACATTTACAGGTAAAAAAAAAAAGTTTTTTAAATTTAAGTTGTTATCAAGTTATTATTCTGAAGTTGTTAATGGTTATTTTATTATTTCTTAAAGAAGAGCTCTGCAGTTGCATCTCAACCAGCAATCGATTCAAAAGAGGTTCATGATTTAAAAGAAGATATAAGATTACTTAAAGAAGCTGATAAAAAAAATCAAAAAGAGTTAAAAGAATTAAGAGACAAAATTAAAGATTATGATAAAATTACGAATGATATAAAGCTGTTGTGCGATGCCGTTAAAAAGAACGACGAAAGGATTTCCGTCTTAGAAAATATGGTCGAATCGGAAGAAGAAGAAGGTGGCGAATGATTTTAAATAAACTTATCAAATGGTGCGTAAAAAATTAATTTAAACCTATAATCTTTTTATTCAAGAACAGAGGGTTCTTCATTTTATAACTCGTTTGGTCATTGTCGAGTTTATAAAACTTTTTTTAAAGAATGCATTTTCCAAATTGTCTTAGGCATATATATTTTTTGTTGATAAAAATGAAATTAGTCCTTTTCAAGTGAAGAAGTGTTTTTGTTTCGAATTGTGTTTGTATAGTTGTCGTTTTTAAAAATAGATTGTATTTTAAAAGTTATTGTAATTTTAAGTGTTTTTTTTTTTTTTTTTTTTCTAGTGTGTTTTTTTGTTTTTATATTTATATTTTGTTAATTATTCTAAATTAAAGAGTTTGGTTTTGAATTTTTATCCATTGGTAATGGAAAATTACTATTAAACGATGTTGTTTTTTTATATGAATACTTACTAAACACAAATACTACCGCTGAGGCGGTCGTCCATAAATTACGTCACACTATAAGGGGGAGGGGGTTGTTGGTTTTGTGACGACTCATACAAAACTTGCTTCTTAAGTGAAAATACGTATTCAAATGAAAAATAGTAATTATATAATAGGTACCAGCAATTTTTGGTATTAAGTTGCTGCAAGCAAGTAGATTGTTTATAAGAAAATAAGAGTTAATTTAAAAATAAAAAAATTTCAAGTAAACTTTATTAGAAAGATCAACATAAATAAACCGCCATTTTCTGTAGAATTATAATGAAATGCGTCGTCAAAAATACGTAAACAAAACTAAAACTTTCAAGCGGTTTATTGATTTTATCCCATATTTAGTTGAAGCTAAAAATTTAAATGTTTTTTTTAGAACTTAAACACAAACATATCTAAAAAAATTTTGATTACACAAAAATATCTAAAAAAAATTTTTTGATAACTGTTTGACTCCAAATATACTGCAATCATGTTTTTTTAAAACTTTTTATTTACATGCCCCCTTCTCCTTGATCCAGCACTGCATCTAATTATATGGCTTTTATGTAAAACTACCCATTTTTGCAGGGCCCAAACATGTCTAAAATAATAAATTATTTACGTTTCATTATATATGAAAAAACAAGGGAAAATGTTTTACATCAACATTAAGAATTCGTTAATTATAACTCATTCTAGTTTATATTTCATAAAGTAAATTAAAATAAGATAGAATCTAGAAAACTTTCAAATTTTCCACATATTTTTATAGTCTAATAAAGGTACTCCCGTTTGAAGCAATTGATTTTTCCAAAAAAAAAAAAATTGAAAAATGTCTATTATAAAATAGCTTTATTTTTAAAAAATGTTTTGACGCTTTAAAAATTAAAAAAACGTTGGATACTCGTAAAAAAGTCGGATTATGTTATCAATGAAAACTACTATAAAAGCCGCTTATTAAATGTGTTTAACAAACACATAGAAATGACGTAAAAAAATATTTATTAATTAACTACTTTTATATAAGTGGAGTAAACCAAAGCGACAGTTTAAAATTGAAATGAAAAAGTTCACATATTGGTACAAAAATTTCTTAATTTAGCCAATAAAAGTTTAAAATTTAAAATATAAGTTTACAAATTTTAATACTACCGTGTTAATATAAAGTTTTCAAAAGATTAAAAGTATACAAATATTAGGTTTATAATGTCACTGTTTCCTGTACAAAAAGTTGATGAACTTTGGTTTGATAAATGAAATAATAATTGGTTCTTTAAATTATAGAACAAATGGATAATCCACTAAGGTCATCCAGCATCATTACATGCTATATCCCATATCTTGTTGAACTAAAACATATATAAACGAGAACCAGAATTTCTCAGAGTCAGAAAAAAGAACCATTATTTCCCAGAGGTGGTATTTCGAAAACCTCTTCCAAATTATATATGCACAAATTTCCAAACAAAAAAGGTTTTTAACGACGATCTTGATTTAAAAAAATAAGCCATCAAAACCTTTCTTTTTATTATTTTGTTCTGAAGAAAAGGTCCTTAGCATCAAATACAAGACTTCTCAAGGATAAATTTGTAAGCTGATTGACGAATGCATTTATTATTTTGTAAACTGTATTCAAGTTCCTTTTATTACGGTACAGGTGGTATATTGTTTCGGTGATGTATTTATTATATATGTAGTGTATTATATACAGTATTGGACAAAACATTTGCAACTAACATCGAACAATGCTAAAAATGTTCCTAATTTTACATGTCTTAAAAACTAAACGAACTATACTACTACAGCAAAAAGTTCAGGAATTTGGAGTCTTAGCATGCTATGACATGAGCAATCAGCTGACAGGTGACAACACACAGGCAGAATTTCGTTGACAAGTGCTATTTTGGAGCGGACAAAACAAGTGCAACTTTTTTGGTTTGTTTCATTTTCTTAAGTCTGGTCCGTGTCAACGTCACGGAAGTTTTTTAATAACTAAAGGAAGTATTCAGAAGTTTCTAGAAGCATGCAGAAGCTTTCAGAAGTTTCCAGAAGAAGCATCCAGAAGCATCAAAAAGAAGCATCTAGAATCTTACAGAATAGGTTCACACAGGTTCATTTTACTATATAAGAGACATGTAAACCGACATGTAATTCAGTCAGTATATGGAAGTCAATCAATCAGTATTATCAAGACAGTTTATCAAAGTGAGTTTTATCAAAGTGTTTTATCGAAGAACATCAATACAAGAAGTGATATACAACAAGTGTTTCTCTACATCAATACAGTCCACATCCAACCAAGACGTTGTGTTCCACAGAGCATTATTGTATCATCGCAAGGTAAATGTAACACGGAAAGCCTTGAGAAGCGTGATTATTTATTTTTATTATTTTTATGACTTCAAGTGCAAAAATGGTTTCCGACAATCTTGGATTGGAACTAAGAAAAAAAATTATTGGCGATTACGTAAGTGGAATGTCACAAAAAAGTAGTTGTGATAAATATCGCGTGAAAAAATGGACCGTATCAAGATTATGTTCCAAATGTCGTTCTACGGGGAAGTTGGCAGCAGATAACAAAGGTGGAAGACCGCGTTCCACCACCTCTAGAGAGGATTCTATGATTGTCAGATCCGTCAAAAAAGATCCCTGGATATCATCAGTCGAGATACAAAAGCATTTAGAGCTGCCTGTATCGGACCAAACAATCAGACGACGTGCTGTTGAAGCCGGATTGTTTTCTCGACGCCCTGCAAAGAAACCACCGATTTCACTAAAGAACCAGTAGAACAGACTCCTGTTCGCTACATCTCATATTGACTGGAATGTGCAGAAATGGAGAACTGTCCTGTTCAAGGATGAATCGAAGTTCAACATCATTGGGAGCGATGGCATGTGCCGTGTACATCGACCCACCTGAAAACGCCTCGATTAACGTTACTGCCATAAGACCAAGAAGCATGGTGGAGGCAATGTAATGGTCTGGGGGTGTTTTTCTGCTAACGGTCTAGGTCCAATACATCGAATTGATGCAATAATGGCCCGTTTCATGAATAAAAATATCTTGAAAGATGTTATGTTACCTCATGCTGAATGGAATATGCCAATAAAATGGGTTTTTCAGCAAGACAATGATCCGAAACACATTGCAAAAGTAGTCAAGCAGTGGTTTCAAGACAACCACCTATCGGTGATGGATTTGCCGCCTCAATTTCCGCATCTCAACCCTTTCGAGAACCTGTGGGAGATCGTCAACCGCAGAATTAATCGTGAAGGTGTTTGTAATAAGAATCAACTGTTTGAACAAATCCAAAAGGTCTGGGCAGCGATTCCACAAAGTTTCATTGATCACCTGATCGAATCTATGCCTCGAAGATGCAAGGCTGTGATCGACAACAAAGGATTCGCCACGAAATATTGATAGCGAAATACAGCTTGGTCAAAATTTTGTGGAATTGCACTTGTTTTGTTGAGAAGAAAATCAACTTTTTATAATATTTTTGATTAATTTATTAATTTTCGTGTACAAATAATGAACTTTGTGATGAATAAAACTAGAAGAACGTTGTCTCTAAACAGTTACATAGTTATTTCTCTAAATTGAAAAAATGCAGCACTTTTATATAAAGAAACTAAATTAGCATTATTTGGTTGCACTTGTTTTGTCCGATACTGTAGCTATTGTTCAGATAATATAATGCTCGTTGCGGTGCTCTATGACAAGACCGTAAAGACTATTTGGGGCACCTAAAAAAAAAAAAAATCATATTGTACTTATAATTAAACATAAAAAAATATTATGCTCAAAATTTTATATACTCAAAATTATGATGTACTTTTTCCGAACAGAGTTTTATCAATATAATTACAAAAAATGTTGGCAAACTTTTTCTTATGTTTTCATTAATAAGACAAATCATTCGGAAGCAAATATTTTTGAGATCAGGATAGAAAAAAGTCAACTTTGTTTTAATAATATTGAGAAACAAAATATGATTAGTTCATCTGTCGTAAACTAATCAGATATTTACTACACCTTTTCAAAAAGTAATTAAGAACTTGAAAGTTGTAATTAAGAAACGTAAGATGTAATTTAGAAGATGAAAGTTATAATTGAGAAAATAAGCTGAGGTTTAGAACATAAAAGTTGTAAATCATCGTAGGATGTAATTGAGAGCATTTTAGTTGTAATAAAGAAAAGTTTATAATATAGATTCTCAGAATAAAGCTATTTGTATTTTTAATTTTGTCGCTTAATTTACCTTGCAGTTAAAGGTTGATTCATAACTTGGCCAAGGTGGCCATATGAGTTGGTTTTCAATAAATAATAACTATACTATCAAAAAATTAAAAAAGTGATGAAAAAGGTATTTGCGATTTTGGCGGTAAAATGGAAATATTCTATCGGTTGTTATTTAGAACTTTCTTTTTTGTTTGTTTGAGAAAAATTAGTTTGAGACATCAGATGGATAATAAATAAAACACAATTTTTGTTTTGATAATTTGTCGTAATATTTTTTTTGATCCTCATTTAATTTTTTTCGTTTAAAACAACCTCTTCCAATAAAATTTGAATTTAAGCTGCGAACCCAATTGAAAGCTAACTTACATTTGACCCCTAAATTTTGCGCCAGAGTCACTCAATCATCATTTCACTCAATACATTTAGCAACTCTTCTATTGTTATTCGGTGAAGATAAAACGTAATATTTTCTTTTAATTTGTTCGGTTGTATGTATTTTATGCCAACAAAATGGACAAGTTGGTTATGGTTGTTAAAGAAGCGGATGTAAGATAATTTGGTGAAATAAATGCTGACACGGATTTAATTTAATAACAGACTTTCTGTATTGACCAATAACATAACGATCTTTCAATTTCATTATTATTGCTGATGTATAAAAAACTTATTTTAATTCATGTTCCAGATAACCTTTTATAATGACCTATAAGCTTTCATTGTGA